CTAAATCCTAAACCTTCAGTCCCAATATAGAATCATAGTCGTATCGATTGGGTGGATGAACCAAGAGAAGTTGTAGCTCCAAGCCGCCAGGCTATTTGGGCCATCGCTTTGCGGGCCTACAGCAGCCTTGGGTCTGTAAGGAACCCAGATGAGAAGTATTGAATTTGGGGATACTATGGTACCCAATATGGAGTAAGATTCTATCCTCCTTTTGGGGTATAGTATCTTATATAAGGGATACTATCTTACTAGGTTCAACCACCAAAAAACGCTAGTCAGATCTGGGTTAAAGGGTTTATACAGGCATAGTTTGGGATTTATAGGGTTTAGGGTTTATGTTTGCAGAGGATATATAGGGGTATTCTAGGGATTTGTAGAGTTTAGGGTTTCACAAAATTAGTAGTACCTTTAACGGGTTTATAGACGATATAGGGATATTCTAGGGATTTATGGGGTTTAGGGCTTCTCAAAATTAGGGGTACCTTTGTGGGGGTCCCTGTAGTAAGCATTCTGGGGCCCATCCTTTTAGGCAAGCTGCAAGATTACGAATTGTGCTGTGCGGGTAGGCAGGGCCAAAGTGGTAACTCAGGTGGACCCCTCACCCTGTAATAGGTCGCGAAAGCTAGCCTCTGTGGCTAGCTTGAGTTTCTCAACAAGCGTTAGCTTGCAACAAGGGGTGTGGCGGGGGGAACCCCTGGTGTGTGGTCAACAATCCGCGTTTTTAGCCACACAAGCTTTCGTGCCAGTCCCGCTCCCCCAAGTACAACAGGAATCAAAAGGGCCCATACATCATCACCATTCTCCCTTAGGTGGGGGGTCCACCTAACCTACAGCCCTTAAAGCTCTAACTTTGATACCCCAACCACCTTTGTTTACTAGTTCTTTGTAGGGAAAAAGGATTATAATTCCAATAAAACCCCTATATAATCTATTCCCCAATTCCCTACTAACCTAAGCTTAAACCTTCAATCCTAAACCCTAAACCATAAACCCAAAGCCCCAAACCCTAAACGCCAGTAAGTTTGTGGGGTGCCCAGCTTCGAACACCTTCGTCCGTGCCGTTGAGACGGAGCTTGAGCTTGCGCTGTTGAAGGCAACCGAAGATGGGCTTGGTGTGGTGTAGGCTTGTTGGGGAGTTTCGGGTTCTGGGGGTTAAGGGTTTTTTGGGGTTTAGGGTCAAGGGTTTAGGGTTTCTGGGGTTTGGGTTTCGGTGTCGAGGGAGGCTCTTGGGTACAGGACTTTCAAGTGCATCGTGCGGGTATTCCCGGGACCGTATATGAATTCACGTTGTTTCTGTAGAAGCACTTTCAGAACATCATGGAGACCCATGTAGATGTAAAATTTTGGGGTGCCTCAACGCGCAGCACCACATGCCCTCTGGCTTATGGTTTTGGCTCAGCAAAATGGTCAAGCCTTCGCTGAGTAAGTTAAGAAGTCGTGATACATTCAAACCACACTCACGGGCGGACGCTCTGGAGCATTTTTGTTGAAGGCTTAGGTTTTACAGTTTAAGACTTCATTTAACCTTCAGACCCTTGCCAGCAGCAGCTGCAAGAGTCAGTCGGGATGCATGTCCGTTGTCGACTCTCCCATGTCAGACCTTTGACTTCCACTTGTCCTTCAGAACCATCCCAGCAGAAGGCTCAGTGCCAAGCTGGTGCCGTCATTCATGCTTATTTGGACAGCTGCTCGAATTTCTCGATCATTTTCACTCCCATCTTTTTCGGCATCCTCTTTATCATCAGGTTCTTTCACTTTCCTCAGTCAGATGCAGCAGCCATTGCAACCAATCCTTGATTCTCTGCAGATTCGCGATGGCCCATCCGCACATGCCACTTCTTCTTGCTACGTCTTTTCAAGGGATCCTCAATGGCCTTGCTGCTATTGCTGCTATTGCTGACCTTATCTGAGAGTGAGGCAGCGGTGGGCCAGTGTCTTTAACTAAGGGGGGGAGGAGAAGGGGTGTCACAGATAGAAATGAGGTTCGAAGGGTGGAGGGTCTAACGTTCAGTTCCGTTTTCTTTTCATTAACCTCCTGACACCTGTTCTGGCATGAGCTTCTCATTGGTCGATCCCCTTCTTGATTATTGGGCACCCGCCTGCAGGACTCCATTTTTGCAGTAGGCTCTGGGTGTCGTCCAATTGTGTCCCCCGATCCACCACACTTCCTGCAAGTCCTGTGGGAGGCAGAGTTGCTCTGCTTGATATTCCATGGGCTTAAGGGTTTGGGGTTTATGTAAGGGTTACACAGGTTTTATATAGGTGTTACGTAGGGACACTGGAAAAGAACATGGAAACTACCATTTAGGGTTAATCTGGCGTGCTCCAGATTTGCTTCCCCAGAACTCCTAAAGGATCCAAAAATGGAACCCCCATTCTCCCCTAGTTTCCCCAATGTAGTAATGGGTTCATATTGGAGGGGGTTCCAGTTTTTTGGATCCTTTAGGGGGTCTGGGTCCTTCTCATCTTCAACCTTGAATTAGCAGCTTGCTTCACTGTACTTCTCCTGTTGCCGATTGCCAGTCGCCTCGCCATCCCTAAACCCTATAACCCAAAACCCTAAGCCCTACAACCCTTAACCCTACGCACGATAACCCGAAACATATTCGACATCCATCTCATGTCCCTTTGTACTCTTCATACTATTTGATTTTTCACACGATGCTCCGGTAATTGAGGGGCTAGGGTTGAGGTTTTAATGTTCGGGAGTCAGGGTGATGTGAGGGGTTAAAGTCTAGGATTCAACCACTAATGGCGCGTATTTTTTCAAAACAAGCACTGTGCGAAAATGAGTGGCCCGAAGCTTCTTGAGACCGCCTGACGTCCCGAAAGCCTTGAAGCACCCAGCTCCTGTCATCTGCAACTCCCCGGCCTACGGTTGACATTGTAGTAGTTTCCATTCTATTTTCCATTATCCCAATATTACCCCAATATAACCCCTATAATATACAGTAGTTTCCATTTTATTTTCCATTATCCCAATATTACCCCAATATAACCCCTATAATATATAGTAGTTGCCATTTTATTTCCCATTATCCCAATATTACCCCAATATAGCCCCTATAATATATAGTAGTTTCCATTCTATTTTCCATTATCCCAATAAAAGTTCTGCAGGCAGGGGCCATGATCCCTGAAAACTTCGGCAATCTATGCAGGCTGCAGACAGAGACGCCTTGTTCAGGATGCGGCATGGCTATTCGGTAATTCCCATAGCAAGGAGACCCCCAAATATTATGATCATTATTGTTGGGACCCCCAAAATGGTACCCCCAGTTTTAGCAAACCCCCAGCTGGAGTTGATTGACGTTTGAGTGCAAGTGCAATTAAAGGCCCAACAAATGTGAATCGCTGAGCAGGGCTGTGTTTGAGAAATCTTGTTTTCATCTTCCTTCTGAAGCAATATGCTATAGTAGCTTCCATTTTCTTTTCCATTATCCTTATAGAACCCCAAAATACTATAGTACTTTCCATTTTCTTTTCCATTATCCTTATAGAACCCCAATATACTATAGTAGTTTCCATTTTCTTTTCCATTATCCCAATATTTCCCCAATGTATGCAGGCTTCGCTGGAGCCGCGTCGGCCGAACAGATGGAGGGGTGGGGAGCTGAAAATTCAGGTTCTCGGATGCTTGACACATGGTGCGGCTTTTTGCTGGTTTGGCGTCATATAAAGTCAGTGCCTATACTTGTTCAAGCGTGCGTTTGGGATCTCTTGGCTCTTATCCAGCTGGGCTGAATTGTGTCCTAAGAGGGGCAAACAGCTGAAGCCACAACAACAGTCCAGGTCAGCGCCGCTTGTCCTCCTGCCTTTTTTGGCGCTTGGGAATAGGTTCGAAGACCGTCCAGTTGATGTCGTAGTAGGTCTTGAAACCACAGTTAACTCCTTAAGCTGCGGGCTTCAGCCAGGCTCTATGCCTTGATTTGGGGCGAGCATATTAGCCATGGGACGAACAAGGTCTCCATTTCTCTCACGTGTTACAGAAAGAGCAATGCCAGGTAACGTGGTCACAGGTCGCCTCATTGTTGGCAAGGACACGGGCTGGGAGGTGAGCAGTTATGGCTCAGGAGGACCCCCCTCCCTGTAATAGTGGTATGATCGGGATATAATAGGACCCTAATATAATCCTTATTATCCCTTATAGTCACTATTACAGGGTGGGGGGTCCTCCTAAGTTGCAAACAACAGCCTGATCCGCAGCTTCCAAGGATTTGACTAGTCTACACAGTCTCATGTGGTAGCTTCCCTAGATAGGGGGATCCCTAAAATAGACCTCAAAGTATCATAATCCTTGTTTACAGGCATCCCAAAGAGGTACCCTTAGTTTTAGGAAACCTTCATGTCTTGAACCAAGCCATGCAATTTCAATCTCAGCTGCCTTCAATTAAACCAGAACAGGTTTTGAACTGTAATAGGACTGGTAACAGTAAAAACAAAAGTAACACAAATCGTAATAATAGTAATCGTAATAGCAATAATGAATCCAGGGCCCAGACCCCCATGTGAGTATATAAGACATTACCCTACAATGGAGAAGCAACTGGAAAAGAACATGGAACATGACATGGAAACTGGATTATTTACCAGTCAAATGATGCTTGCCAATGGTCTGAATAAATCTAATGGAATTGTTCCCCCTCTCTGTTCTTCAATACTCGCCAGTGTCAACCTGATGTAACCCTTCAACCTGGTTTGCTGTTCAGGAACTTTCTTTACTTACTATATACACCCATTATGGTAACTGAATTTAAGTTTCTGAGCAGCAACCAAGCTACACATAGCTGATTGGACGCCTCCACGTTCTGGCCATGGGGGCTCGCAACAGCCGTGGGGCAACAGCTGCCCCTGCTGGCCCACGCATCGTGGCCACAAACGTCCCAAGCGTTGCGCAGGCGTGAAGGGTTGAGGAGTTGTGGGTCAACCGCTTCAGGGCTCAATGATTGATTGGGAGTGAGGCTGTTGAATCCGCGCTGGCTTTGGTCTTGCTCGTCAGTTTGGAGCTTCGAGACGAACACTCTGTACATCTCAGAAGCGACAATTTGGAAGGATTGACGCTGCCCTGGACGGGTCAGAAGAAATTTTACTTGCGCCTCTCCCAAAACCATACGGCTTTCTAATTTCAGCCAGATGGGTTGAAAGCTGCCTCTGCGATAAAGCGTCAGTCTGGCGGAAAGCCGGCAAAAGCGCTTCGGGCCATGCAGGCGGCGTACACCCCAAACGATTGCTGTTTCACAGGCATATGGCGTGCGATCTTGGGCTGAATGCGTAATGGTGCCCACATTTCCAGATTGAACAGGCGTTCCTTCATGTTTTCGGTTTGCTCTGGCTGCTCTTACCTCCAATGCTCGCCTTGTTTTTGACATTGCGCTGGGCTGGTTTCATTGGCGTGCACATGAGAACGGCTATCAAATTTGTTTTGAATGGAGTGCAAAGTCACTAGCAAAATCCAGCACATGCCCGCCATAAAATTGTCAGCTGCATGAATCGTAGGGGTAATGCTAATGGACATGAGTGCAGTTGGCCTCACGCCAACACAATCATCAGCGGCAACAAAAACAGCAGCAGAAGTAGCAGCAACAGCAACAACAACGACAACAGCAGCAGCAACAACAACAATAATCTACCAGTAGAATTGCAGTGCCAGTAATTAAGAGTTGTTTCTCCCGTACACAAAACAACAACAGTATAAAAGGAGCCTAAGACCAGAATATTGGTAGCTATCCCTGGACACCGCATGCCCCACATAAGTCACAGTTTCCATTTGCTCCTGCCATTACTGGGGTATACCTCCCCATATACAGTAATCCCAATTATAACCCTAAATTGTAGCTTCCATTTCAGATCCCATTTGATTTTCCAACTCTCCATTATTGGGGACAATAAGCCCTAAACCCTAAATGGCGGTTTCCATTTTCTTTTCCATTTTCCATTCCTTGACATCCCTATATAACTGCAGAATACTGATACATTCGATCGAAGGCCGCCACCTCTGCGCTTACCGGAGGAGGGCTCGCACATGGGACTGGTAGTCGAGGATTCTCTGGGCTTTAGGTACGGAGGTTGGGGGTTGAGTCGTGACATGACTACAAGGGAGATTTCGATTTGTGAATTGAGGGAGCTAGTTTGCAAAAGAAAATACCAGTGGCAGTAGTGGCAATTATAGCAGTAGTAGACAGGGTGGTGTTGGTGATGTTGATGGTAGTGCTGCTGGTGCTGGCGCTGATTGGTGCTGGCGAGGGTGTTGGGTTTGGTGCTGTTGCTGGTGATGTTGCTCCGGTGGATACCACAAATCCTGCATGACCCTAGGTACCTTATACCTTGGGAATTATACTACTGTAGTATACTTAGGTCATGCAGGGTTTTGTAGTATCAACAGTAGTTCCTGCAAAGAGCAGCAGGAAGCCCACACCCAACTTAAGGAAGTCTGACTGTTACTCAAGTACAACGTGCTGCTCAACAATAAAAGAGCCCTATGTACACCAAGATCTTATATGTGGATTTTTTTCAAAGGTACGTGCATAGCTCAACATTTGACGGCAGCTTAAAAGCGTTACGGCGGTCATGGCCTAACGTAGTGACAATTGCGCAAAGTGATTTGTAGACTTGTAGAGGGTGGTTATGATGATGACAATGCGGCAATATGCCAAGCCACCTCACATGCTGCCGAATGAGCTTGGAATAGTCATTGTGTGTGTGTTTTTTTTTTATGGGGATATATATGTCATTAGGGTTTAGTCAAGATGATCCCATGATGTGGTCCTGCTGTTTCCTGATGATGGTGGTGATGATTATGATACTGCTGCTGATGATGAAGGCAACGGTGAAGCAAACTGCCAGGCCATGCTTGCTGGACGGTACCGAGAAAGGACTGAGCTTGAAGTGTTAACAAGCAGCAAGCGTGCTCCAGAATAGTATATCATAGTATTTTATAGTATATTCTAGTACATTACAATATATTACAGTATATCATAGTATATTATAGTACATTATGGTAAATTGTATATTATAGTGAGTGCTAAGCAGGATAGTCCAGGCTGTGGCAGATGATGATTCTGGGGCTTCTGGGTGGGTTGACGCCAGCAAGGACGTCCCTGGCCTTGCGATCTCCTGGGGAAACTTGGCTCGGAGAGGAGGTTGTCAAAGTGGATCAAGCACCAAGTATATGAGAATATGGTTTAGGGTTTAGGGTTTAGGGTATAGGGTATATTATATGATAGTATATTGTAGTATGTTGTAGTATGTTAAATTATATATATTATGGTATACTAGAGTATGTTAAAGTATATTTTAGTATGATTTAGAGTATTATGTAGGATGTCTGTGAGAGGCGTTGCCAAGTCTCCCTGCTCTATGCAGTACTGTGCCTGCTGAGGTGCCACCTCTCTGGCAAGCGTGGACATCCCTGCCGAACACAGGGTTCCTTACCTGGGCGGGTATTGTAATTTGGGGTTATATTGGGGTTATACAGGGATTATGGAAAAGAAAATGGAAACTACTATGTAGGGTTTAGGGTTTGGGGTTATAGTCACCCTTAAGTAGATAGAATATGGCTTCGGGTATATTATAGTAGGATCCCCATGTACCCTATATTCTATCTATTTAAGGGGGCTGTAATCCCTATATAACCCTATTCTAATATGGTAGTTTCCACTTTATTTTCATTACCCACTGTGATCAGAGGCTGATTCGGTCTGGAGTTCTGCTTGGCGGCATGCACTGTCCAGGTTTTTGCATTGGCCGATGGTGCCACCCTCCCTGGAGGCCAACTTAACAATAGTTTCACACTGATGTCTGGTTATAGGGGAAGTGAATAGGGATACATAGGGCTATTACCGAGGTACTAAAATCGAATGGGAAATCAAATGGATAATGAAATGGAAGCTACTGTTTGCTTGTTTAATGCCGCATGACGGATTGTTTTATAAGCGCCCAGGTTATTTGTCACGGGATGTAGCTGCACTGCAGTAGTTTTGCTGCTGCAAGAAGACCATGGTAAGCCTCAGCAACGAGGAGTCAATTCATGCAGTTATACAACCCTATGTAATCCTCTTCAGCCGTTATGCTGCCCTATTCCTTATAACCCTATATTGCCCTTTACAACCCCATATAGCTCTATTCCCTATACCCGATATTGTGATATTGGTCCTTTGAAAGCCGGATATCGCCTTCGATAACCCTTTGTAACGCTTTGCAACACCATGTATGAACCCTAGTCGCCTCGTATACTCGTACAACCTCGTGTAACCTTATCCAACATTATGTAGCCATAATATAATGATATAACCCCATGTGATCCTATGCGACATTATGGAACCATACATAACTGGCCTTTGGTTGGCTAGGAATGAAAATAGCAGTCCCTATATCGCCCATTATAGTAGTTTCCATTTTCTTTTCCATTCCTTAATTCCCACCCGAAACCTTAAACCCTACAGTAGTTTACATTTTCTTTTCCATTCCGTCATTCCCAGCTAACCAAAGGCCTGATAAGCCTCCTGCAAGGACCCTAAACCCTAAACCCTAAAACAAGCCTTCCTGCAAGGCCCTGGGCCTTACCTGACTGCCCCGGGCCCGCCACTTCTTCTCGTGGTTGCGGAGCCTGGTGAGGCCGAGCTGAATGATAACACGGTCAAGGGTTTGGGGTTTAAGGTTTAAGGGTTTAGGTTTAGGGTTCCTTCAAAGGCTTTACGGGGGGTTATTCAGGGGTTATTTTGGGGTTAGATAGGATCATGTAGGGATGTATGTATTTAATTCAAGCACCCTAATGACGGAGAATCAAATGAAAACGATCATGGAAAATGAAAAGGAAGTTTGGGCTTATAGCTGGGACATACTACTCTAGCAGGGAATGGAGAAATGTAAATAAGATAGGCACCAGCTGCTTTGGGGGAAGCCTACGGGCAAGCAGGTTGAGAAGTTGAACTGTGGGGTGGAACGAAGTCTACAAAGGGCAATATAGGCTGTAGGGGAAAATATAGGTTCATTTAGGGGTTATATAGCCTGGTCATTTAGGGGTTTTGAATTAGTCAAGTATAGAGAGCGGACTGGGTTCCCAAAGGGCAAGGATGTAGAGGTTTCGGGTTTAGGGGTTCCGGCTGAGTGTGCGAGCAAGTAGGGTCACTATAGTCTTTGTGTGGAATAGTTGCAGCCATACTTGCTGTAGTTTTCATTTTCTTTTCCAGTATCCCAATATATCCTCTATATCCCGCATGTCACTCCACATACAATGCCCTTTAATGGGAGCCCGTATTTTGGGAAGTCCACTTTTGGTAATTTAGATCCAGCGCTGCCTGTGGAACTTTTTGCTCTTGTTTTGGTGCTTGCTATGGTGGCTCTTCAAGCAGTCTATATGAAGCCCTCCCTCTTCTGCTTAGTAGTGTCATGACGCTCATGTCAAGATCAGGGTGGTGCTGCTGCTGATGCTGCTGTTGCTGCGCAACATGATGACCACGATGATGAGGATGCTATATGGCATTACTATAATCGCCAAGTATGTCAGTAACGGCCTTCATCTAGTGCTAACCAGAAGGTCATACTCCCAACCCTCAACAATGCTCCCATTTGAGATTTCGCACGTGATCATGGCCATCGTGGTCACAACGTTGACAAAAAGAGTAGGTTCTAAGATGCTCACGGGAATGCACTCCAATGAGAGTTGAAGGGTGCTAATACCTGAGATTGCAATATGCCACGTCTCACCGAACGGCAGTCGCACTTTTTTCTCTTTACATATTTGGGGGTTTTACAGATCTTGGAAGCGGAGGTGAATGCTCTAAAGCATCTGGCGGTGTCGCCTGGCTGCCACCCAGCGGCGGCAACAGAGCTTTTCCGCGACTGGATGAAGTCCATGCTGCCCGAGAGGCCACGTAGACTGCACCTGCAAAGTTGCTTTCGAAGTTAGAAGCCTTGGCCTTCTGCTGTGAGGGTGTCGGCGATGCATCTGCAGTGTGGGCGAGCTTCTTGATTTCATGTGTTTTGGCCGTTGAAAGGTGCAAGCTCGAGTGCCTTGAGGATGCTAAAGCTTGTGGCTTGGATATGTCTCAGCTTCAGCAGATAGCATTCTGACGGTAAAGACGTCAGAATCGCCAATGAAGCATCTGTTTGTAGGACATAGGATTTTTTTGCCACGACTCTGATGGCAATCGCCTGTGCGGCCCAACTGCTCGCATGGCCGAGCCCACAAGAAAAAAAGGTTTAGGGTTTAGGGTTTGGTGAAGACTCCTTTGCCGGTCGCTCGGAGAGACCCTGAGTCAGTTGGAATTGCAGTAGTCTTTTTTTGACGGGTTGTTAGTAGGGAATAAGGGAATATACCCCTTCTACAATCTCCATATGAGCCATAGTCTAAACTCCTTAAAACGGGGGGCTACTATAGGGGTCATCAAGGGGGATACTAGGAGTTCAGACAATGGCTCATGTATTCTAAATCCCTTCTTCCGTGCTCACAACCAGGAAGTTATTGTTACAAACCTCAACTTGGTCTGCTGGCTCCGGCTGAATGTGTGACCTGCTTTGACTTCCCTAAACCCTAAACCTTAAACCCTAAACTTCACTAGCCATGGCTTGCATCAGAAAAGGTGCGAGGGATGTAAAAGACATACTAAACCCTAAACCCTAAACCCCAAACCCTAAACCTTAAACCCTAAACCTTAAACCGCGTGTCATTGGCTGTGAACCAGCTTGTGATAGGAAGTTATCTTCTCAGGCAACAAGATGTTCAATCCGCAGCTACCCTAGATAAGGGGAACCCAATGTAGACCCTAAGATATCCATTCTTAGTATAAGGACCCCCCAAAGGTACCCCTGGTTTTTGGGAAACCCTAAACCCTATAGATCCCCATAGTATTCCTATGTATCCTCTATAAACCTTCTAAAGGCGCCCCTAACTTGGGAATCCCCCAATTGATTCAAATCATACTGCATCAGGAGGAAGGGGCATTGACCGAGCTCGTTGAGAGAATTCGATCGCTGCCTGCATGAATTTGGATGGTGATTAAGGGGGTAGGGTTTAGGGTTTGGGGATATTTCCTCCCCCGAACATGGAAGATGCAATGGAAACTACCATTTAGGGTTTAGGGTCCCGACCACCTCAAAACTGTTCGAGCTCATTCATTGAGCCACTTGCGATTCTGAGTTTGTTCGAACTGGATTGTGGTCTGACACCAAGCAAGCCCAGCTTGCACCTGAACCTCTACTTTTCTTTGGTTAGCTAGGAATGAAGGAATGGATCCTTCTAGTAGTCCCTGTATAGTAGTTTCCATTTTCTTTTCCATTCCTTCATTCCCAGCTAACCAAAGGCCAGTCTAGTCAGACCCTAGTCCGTGTGCTGCAAGCCCAAGGCTCCCAAAGAGGTGACTTGAATCTACTATTATTATTATTGTTATTATTATTACTTGTTATTATCTATCAGTATTGTTATTATTAATTATTACTATTATTACTTTTTAGTACTATTATTACTAATATTATCTGATCTTCCGAGCTCTGTTGGCTTAGACCTATAGAAGTCCGAGCCTTCGCCGGGGTGTTCAAGCGTTGTGTGGTTGGGGTCCTGGGTTGCCAGGGTCGCGATGCGGGGATGTGACAGCAACTTTGCTCACAGGTTTCTTCACTGGGCTTGTGCGTAAGAGGCAGAACCAGCTTTCAGAGGCAGCAAAGCAGTCATGGCTTCCTAGGTTCACAGATATTTGCCTTATGCTGCCATGGCGGGGGCCGAAGACACGGCCGAGGGCCTGTTGGCAGCCATTGAGGCAACAAAGCGGCGCCTGGAGAAAGAAGCGTCCCTAGAGACTGAGCTACTTACTGCGATTCAGCAGGCTCGGGAGCGGCAGAGGTTACGACGAGAGCTTGAAAAGCAACAGGAGCCTGGGCTCCTGTAGAACAACAGTTTACATTTTTGTGGATACCTGGGCCCAATATCAATTAAAAAAATGATCTTTTTCTAGTGGTATTTCAACAACAAACCAGGAGCTTTTGGCACTCCAAAGGAACACCAATGCCGATCATCGTGCGTACAGATCTCGCGTTGACTCCGACCTTGCTGGACCCAACAAAGCCAGTGCCCCCTCAAAGCCAAGTTGCAATTATCGTGTGGCTGCAGGGCAAAGCCTGAACTTCGGCCGCGACGTCGCTCTAAGGGAGTATGTCTGGAAACTCGAAGGCCTCTCATGGTTACAAGGCTGGCTGTTGCAAGCCGGGATAAACTTTCTGTCGTCGGATGACATTTTTGTCAGTGGAGAGGGCTTTGACCTTGCGTACAGGCCGGACGGAGGCAGTCTCACCCCGACACAGAATGGGACGCTTGCCATTCGCTATGCTGGTTTGGATGACATCGCCTTTCGCTATAGCTTTTATGTCAAAGACCGTCATGGTTCATTCATACAGTGGGGCAAGACTCGTGATGAGTTCTACGAGCCCATAGACGAGGACGGGAGCTATGTGGTCTATGGTCCTGATGTGCATGAGCCCGATGCAGAAGAATTCGTGGAGAAGGGCATTTTCGGCTTGACGCATGAGCAGCTGCTAAAATCTGAGTGGGTTGAAAACGATACTCTGACAGTTAAGCTCATTCTTGAGGTACGTCAGAATGATCATGTAGAAGTGAAGACCTTGGGGTGGACTGAGGTCCCTGGGCCTACTCTAAGCAGCGACATGAGGGCCTTCTGGGAGAGTGGTGCATGCAGGGATGTGCAATTCCTGGTGCAGGGGGATACTGTCCACGCACATTCGCAAGTTCTTTGCGCGCGGTCGGAAGTGTTCAGGAAGCAGCTTACTGCTGGTATGCAGGAATCCGTTTCCAAAGTGATCGTGATTGATGACTGCGACCCAGGCACCTTCAAGGCCTTCCTGAAGTTTCTCTACACGGACACTTTGGACAACATTAAGAAGCTTTCCCCTAACCACTGCGAAGACCAGAGCAGCTCTCCAATAGCACAGCTACAGTCTCTCTTAGCTGTGAGCCACAAATATCAAGTGAAGCGCCTGCAGCTGTGGTGTGAGATGCAGCTATCCGAGCAGATGACCATTTCTGAAGTTTGTGGCATACTTTGCCAGGCACATCTGCTTGAAGCTAAGAAGCTGGAAACATCCTGCCTGTCCTACATCAAGGAGAATATGGCGGAGGTGGTCAAGCTTCCTGCCTATGCTGAGTTGATTAAGACCTGGCCGCAGGTCATGCTAAGCATCAGCTTGTTCATGGCGGGTGTCTCGGAATCGGACGCGGCTGCAGCCGTGGAGTCTCTCGAGAAGAACGAAGCGCAGCGCAAGCGCAAGCGTGCGGACGAATAGGGCAATTCTGCAGAGTAGGAGGTACTACAATGCCATCAGCGAGGCAAGATGCACAAAGTGGCCGAGATGAATCAAACAGATGCTTGATCGCTCATTTCACTTCAAACTGATCTCTGCAGTACCCCTGCAAGAGCTGTTCGCATCGTGCAGTGTCGCGCACCCAGTCGGCAACAAAAAGCAGCTGCCTCGGTTGTTCTCTGCGGCTTCGTTTGGAAGCCAAACTTTGGCTAGCTTGGCCTTCTATTGATATGAGCTGTAGTCTAAACTCCTTGAAGAGGCTTTTATCGGGGATTATGTAGGGGAATATGATAGGGGCTATTAAGGGGGATGCTAAGATTTTAGATTATGGCTCATATGCGTAGACGCAGTGTGAACTTTTCAGAGCCAGCCCCGTGATCCAAGGTTTTTGCCGCCAGAGGTTCGGATCCTAGACCGCTCATTGGGCTATATTGGGATAATGGAAAACCAAATGGAAAGTACTATAATGGAGTCATATAGGGTTTAGGGTTTAGGGCTACACAGACCGAGCAGATTTCGGAAAGTTTGCTGATCTCAGCGCCTCGCACCAAACTTCCAAGCAATGCGGTGTCTCAGGTGGAGTTGCATGGTGTTGCCAAAGTGTCCAAGCGCTACAACGCGCGATGGGTCTTCCCGGCTTCCATTTTGTCAACCTTCCTCGCAATACTGTTGATACTAGAAATCCTGCATGACCTTAGTATACTATAGTACCATAATTCCCCAGGTGTAAGATACCTAAGGTCATGCAGGATTTTTTGTATCCACCGTATTCACGAAATGCCTGCAGCATGAATCCCACAAAATCAACTTCCCGCGCTGGAGGAGGGTGCTCGCCGCGACTATCGCTTTCTGGTGCCAAGCTTCTGTGCTACTTTGCTGAAGACCGAAGGAGTCTTATTTGAGTAGTATCTTATTTGGG